GCAACTCAGATTCTTTTGACAACCTGGTTACGTTATCGAGATCTGCACAATGCTAAAAACAAGTGATTGCCAGCATTCTATTTGATTTGTGCACGCTTTATTTTTACAGTTGATAGCACGAAAACAAACGAACTTTGAACTTAAGACTAAAAATGTTATAATGTATTGACGTTCCCTTCATCATTTATGTGTAAATTAACAATATACTACTCATTACACTCAGTTGTCATATTATCATCTTATGATCTATCACACTGTGCACCATAAACATTTTCTACGATAAATCTCTCATTCCTAATGATAATGATGCATTGTTATGAAAAAACTCAATGCAAGATTTCATAAGCTATCTTAATTTTCAAGGTATTTTTTCTCAAGAACTAATAAAAGGCAGCATCCAACACTTGATAGTTATTTTTCATGTCTCTGAGTGTTGGCTTATTTTTATTTGTACATGGAGTATAAATAAATCTATTTCATTATCCCTGATGGAATATAAAACTTGGAAATAAATTTACAGTTACAGGAGTAAAAGATAATTAAGTATATGAAAAAATTAATAGCTATATAAATGTCAAATACACAGAGAACATTTTTTAGAATCAAAATCGGGACGATTCCTAGTATGCTATTTTAAGGTGAACTCATAGTTGAGGATCCACATGTGTCAGTTGAAAAAGTGGAAAAATTAACTGATGACAGTCTGGTGACCACAGCTCAAGAAAGATTATCTATTTTTTATCGTCATTCGTATTACATAGTTCTGCATAAATTTTTTTAACAATAATACCAGGTGAACGTGGTACTAAAATCATGCAAATAACAAATAACTAATAAATGATCGTGAAATTAGCAGTTCGTGACATGGGCTAGGTGTACATCCGAGAAACGATTTAAATTAGTATTTAGGTGACATCAAATTACATTTAATGTGAGTGTGTGTGTGTAATTTGTAGAATAACTTTTATTGCATAAATTGTTGCAATAATTACAACTCATGCCAAAAAAACAGACCAAAGATGTATTCACACTACTTACATCCTGTATGTACTACAACCTCATCATTTTATAGGTTTTTTTTTAACTTAATGAAATTAATTCATTTACATCAATAGTACAGTTTGAGCTTGCCAAAACCAGTTTTTGAAGATTTCATGTTTTTTATTATATTAGATTGGGATACAGAACAAGAATCGAGAGAGCAGTTATAGGTCTTTGTATTAGTAGCGGATACCCTATGTTCAAGCAAATACATTTTAGTACGTTCTACGTTACAACTTCGCTAAGTTTTTTAATTAAAAAGATAAACATAAGATTGTTCTGACTGAACTTTTCAACACAAACAATACCGGAAATATGACAATAATTTTGTTTCAAAAAGTTAGAATTTAGGATACTTTTGAAACAGTGTCCTATACTAATTCTCCTTTCAAGTGATGTATGAAATATTTCATACGTTTATGAATGGAACAGGAACCGCGGGTATAATTTGATTAAAATATCTTTCTTTTCAAACATATAATAAAAAGTCTTTTGTAAACTACATTTTTTGACATAAGCCAGGATTTGTATCACAAGCGACTGTCGACTATCTGCCACAGTGTGTACAAAAATGAAATGGCTTTAAAGAGGAGATAATGGTGTTTTCGAAGCAGCCTGGAAGACATAAAAGGGTGTCTGAATGCAAGCTGAATAAAATGCAGACCATGCATATTCTGTTAATAAATGCTGACGAAACCGTATGTATGTTTATGCTCGCTGTCCTGGAGATTCGTCTGTAAAAATATTTGGATTTGTAATTTATTGAGCAAACTATCGTCCAGATGAAATAAATGCCCGTGAAGAGAAAGGTCAAAAAACAGTGTAGATATATTTAACTACGCAAAACATCGTGGTGTCGTCGACCTCTCTGGGTTTGCGATATTATATTTTTTGACGCGCGAATTTATTGTGTATTGCGGGGTCCTCGACATTAAATAATCTTATCACAAATACAATAATTCTCAGACAATCATACAAAATATTGTTTTCGCTCCTTACACAGCAATAATACGCTTTGAAGATAGACATAAGTGAATTTATAAAAAAATTCCATACGTGTATATTTAATTTATTGGAATACGTGTTCAAGTGTGCCAGAAAAGGTTGCATCCTTCATTGTAAACAATCTGAATTGCTAATTATAAATAGGCAGCATGTGACGTAAAACTTGGTGGAGTTTTATGAAAACATGGATATATTTCAAGATCATCATCTCAAATTTTCCGAGTTCTACTAGAAACTATATTTACTGAAAGCAATATATTTAACTTTTAACAATTGTATTTATTCAGCTGAATAGACTCCAAGTGAAAAACTCTCGCACAAATATAAATGCACATCAAAAAAATGTGTAACTACTTGTTTTAATATGAAAAACAATAATATGGAAACTAGTGTGGAAACTACACAATGAGACCAAGAAAGAGATTCAGTCTATACAGAAGTGCCTACTCTTAAAATAATCTAGAATTAGTAGTACTGGCTAAGCAACATTTAAATATTATATTTGATAACCTTGCGATAGATTATTTATTTTTTCTCTCCGTTAATTAGCATGCGAAAAACTGTTGACATGAACTTGAAACATTGAATTCATTAGTGTTACATCACGCTCGTATTAGTAGTGAGCGTTGAAGCTTGGGAAAAGCAAAACATGTGCTACATAAATAAAATTTATAATTCAAACATCGTCATTGGAACAAGTAGGTATTAATAGCGTTGATTCCAAAAAGTTACGTCCTTCCCCTTTCTCAATTCAATTTTTCGACTCACGCCTGTTGTGTAATAGTTTTCAAAAATCTTATTACGCGGTTTTCAAGTACTGATAGTTAATTTCAAATATTTCCAGTAAAAACCTAAAAAGGTTTTTTGCACTTGTATAATTACAAATAATTACTATTTGTCGAACTTTCAGTTTCAGCCTTGGACGTAGAATTGAACTGCTTCCTTAATACTATACCGCAAGCAAATGGTGTATTAATACCTTTTTCAACGTATTCTTGTTACAGTTTATTCCTTGAGTTTGAAAGGCAAAAGATTATTTCAATTTTATAGGATATGTATCACAGTCTCCAATAGACGTTTCTACCAGTACAAACACGTCATGTCATGTACAATATGAATGCAGCAGTTTTTTCATCTATGCAGAGGGATTGATATGCATCTATATCACATATTCACATAATACGATGTGTATATCATATACCTATAACCCGAGTATACGGGGTGTGTGTATATATATACAAATATATAAGTATTCGAAACGTGACGATTATCAAACACAGTATTTTATTCAAAATTTTCACTTCTCGAATTTGTCAGGAACTTTATCCATAACCTGATCAAATTTAAACTTTAGAAAGGATCATGGAGCATTGTGGTGGTTTTTGATGGTTTGTCAACTTTTTTGTTTTCTTTTAGCTAGAGCACTAACAGGTTTAGTAGTTCTAATTTGAGGCAGTAACAAAATAAAAAAATCGGAAGTTAGGAATATCATTAAATTCTAGAGAAGTCGCTTGTCAATTATTGTAAGCGGTAAGTAATGATAATATGATCCATCCTCACTTTGAATGGACATGTTTATTTACATCAGTTGTTTTAAATCATGCTATTCGCATGTATTTTGATTTCAAGTGCACTATTTCTATATATTATGGGAATATAAATGGTAGGGTTTGTGGCCAAACATATTCAACAATTTTGGTTGTGACTCAGAACATCTTCAAGTAAAGCTCGACTTGGTGTTGATTAAAACAGCATACTTCTATCATCAGCATTGTAAGGAAGCAGAATTACATAGATTGTTAAGAAATTCCACTCATTTGCATCAACTTGTATTTCATCTAAATACATCAGCAGTAACATTACATTGATTTCAATATTTTTCCCTGGTAGCAAAGGATTATGCTTCCACACAAAGAACTTAGGGGCAAAATTCGGGAAATTCACACAGCTTATCCAACCTTATCTCAAAATGTGATGATCTAGTTTTGTAAATATTTTTATCATGTTCCAAGGCAGGGTCATCGTCATTTGAGGATTAGAGTTTATCTGTTATAATTTATGATACCTAGTTTTTTACTTCCTTGTCGTTTTTTAGAAATGGCAGCAGGAAGCTGTGAAACTTTTAAAATATTTAGCAAACACATATCCCTATCTTATTGAAACAGGCACCAGGTTTAGGATGATGTAAACTTAAAGCAGATATAAAGGTAACTTGGATAAGTGGAAATAATTCCAATTTCGTACTTTCTCCATAATGCTCCTAATCTCGATAATTGCATGAGATTTGGTTTGACTGGCAACTTATAGTAATAGTACTTGAATATTGAATATGGAAAATGTTTTGCTGTTGAAAAAACTCACGTTCCCCATCCCTTGAAGACATTATCGACTATTCCTGGATATATCTAGATGGCTATAATTTTTTAAGCAACTTCCGCTGACATCAGATACAAATTAATTTTTGGTAAATGTAGAACTTATTATGCTTGGTAAATATTTTCAGACACCTTTCAGACACTTTTAAGGTAGTGGCAAGTTCCGTCACCAGCACCTACAAGGTAGGTATTAAAAAAATGAAAATGTCGGATCATAGTTTCGCCAATAATTTGGGATTTGATTTCATAATTTTTGTGCAAATATGTTTTTTTCTGTTTTAAACGATTAGTAAGAGCCGACGGAAAACAACCGTTCTCATAGTTTTTCATTTTCCACACGACGAAGGTCGAGATTGCTTTTATTTTTTGCCGCAGTGTTTCGGACGCACCTCACCCTAGAAACTAAAAGCACCTACATTTCTATCTCTAGGTACTATAGGAAAATTTGTCTAAATACCTGTGTACCAATTTAAAAATCCTGAATTTTTAACAACACTTCACTAACAACAAGAATAGCATCATCATCATTCACTTTTCAAACACTTGTTAACACCGAGAAAAATCATCTAAAACACCTACCTGAGTAGCATCAGAATAGGGTGTAGATGAATTTTTGTCCACCAATTGAGATCCAAACAGGGGTGCTTGACTGCTGCAAGTTGGAGTATCAGAACGAGACGAATCCATGTTCTGTTGTGGCACCATTTTTTTTAACGGAAAAAAATCAGATATCCACAGTCACTACGTCACTATTTTCCTATGTGGTAGCAAAATTTCTTTAATCGCGACGAAAGTTTTTCAAAGTTGAAACCTGCCTAAGTGCCTCAAGTGCTGCAGCACTCGACTTTACTTAGCATATTTCACGTTAACTCCACGGTTGCCGATCGGCGACTGACAAGTCGAAGTTTGTGTTTTGAGTTTGTATCTGTTTTACAGCTGGTCTTCCCCACCAAAGCTTCAAGGGGGGATGCGCATGCGCAGTCACCAGGTGTACGCACTCTGTTGCTACAGCTGATAGCTATCTCTGGCCTTTGACACTCTTGATATTATGTGCTTCCGAAAAATACACCAGCAAAAATATTTTCCACGCTTTTCAACTTCAACGATTTTTTACTTCACTCTCCAAACTCTATCATCTCATGAAAAAAAGTCAATCCTGCATCTTTCCGAATGAACTGTCGTCAATCTTCAAAAATGTCAGCTACAAGCACCACAAAAATATCCACAATTTTTCGTGACTGAGGCGCGTCAAAAGTAAACAAACGCAACCGTGGAACTAGCGAACGCTCCGCTGATACCAATCTTACTGCGCAGAGAGACGGAGCACAACTGTCAGGCTTCGGATGTTCGCCGTAGAATGAATCGGTTCGACTCCCCCACTCCTGCGCCCCGCAAAGATTCGGCGTTACGCCGTGCGGGGGCAGCAGCTTACAGCAGCAAGTTAGATCAAGGCTGTAGTGCAGTAGACTGCTTGTATACTCACAATGTGCATGAATGCGATGGGGAAGAAAAATACACAAAATATGCGAAATATAACCGTTTCAGATATTACCGAGCGTTTTCTAATTCATGCTGAAAAAAATTATCTAACAGATCTTCACTTCTAGAAAAGATCTTTTCTAGAAAACAACTAGGTTCCTAATTACCTAATCATACATAAAAATGTTTGTACATACAGCTGGAAAGGCGATCTGGAACGATTTGGAATTTGCCTTGCACTTTCCAAAAACATTTTTTAATTAGGCATTTTAGTTTTTTCAAATTTTATAGAAAACAAAGTTCTCTAATTTGGGTTCAGATCACTGGAAACGAGAACAACAATATGTAAATTGCGAATTTTAACACCAATAAATTCATCAATCCAAGTGACCTTTGAGTGTTTTTACATAGCTTCTGAACAAAAATTGTTCACACTATTGGGCAGATTATTATATGTTTCTAATATATTATATATTATAATAATAAATTCTCATCGATAATTGAACCCAGGTATTTGATGCTTTATACTTTTCCTACTTTGACGCTATTTATTCTTATTGAAAAGTCTTCAACTACTTTATTCTTCTGTTTGAAAATTAGATATTTTGTTCCATCGATGTTGATCCTCAGTTTGTTCAAATACAGCCATTTACAGTAAAGAGCAAGATCTGAATTAACTTATCACGCAGAGCCTGCTCATGATTTTCTTTATAAAGAAAAACTGTGTCGTCAGGAAAAGTAAAATATCTTGCATTAAGATTAGCACTCTAGATTTGGAACATATAGAGAGTATATTAGTTTCCCCAAGACTGGGGGCACCATAATTACTAGATAACCACTCACTATTTGTTTCACCAATTTTCACATACATATTGTTTCCTGTTGAGTAATTAAGATTTAATCGAACTAAATTATTCAAGGAGCTTTGGAAAAATGTACATATTTTTTCTTTAAAGATCATGTTCAACAGTAGATGGTTCTTGCTCTAAATTCAGTACTATCCAACTACTCCACCTGTCAATACTTTTACAATGAACATTTATTCAACAAATTTTATAGCTAACGCAGCTCTCTAGCCTGTGTTTAGAACACTGAGCTTGGGGCCAAAAAAAAAAAATGATTACATATGTTAACAATAGCAAATTCGACAATTCAAGTGATATTTAAGTTTTCTTTAAAAAATTTGTATAATATATAATTATATCTCACTTTTGTTGCTCACTTGGAATTTTGATAATTAATTTACATTGTTCTAATTCCGATAGCTTGTCCAGTTTGATGTCGTTCAAATCCGTGAACATATGATCCATGTCGGCAAGTCGGTCGTACTTGGCAAATCTTGTGCTTTATGAAGCTCAGTTCTAGCGCACATTCCTAAGTAGGTGATAGAAGTGACTCGTAAAAGATGCATGATAAATATTTATTTAGCTTCTAGTGGTGGAGTCTACTACGGTATCAAACAGCTACCTTTGACAGTTTTATAATTTTTTTTAATGTGACCAATTCAAATTCCAGTCTATAATTTATCTCAGGTATCTGATGCTATTATTATTATTTATTTGTATACAGAAATGTTTAATTATTGTTTGTTGATCTTTAATTTATTTGAATGCAACCATTTGCAGTAAAGAGTAACGTATAAATTAACTGCATCGCGAAAAGCTGGAGCACCCCTTTGTAGCGAAGAAAACCCCTACCTCTCTTTAGATTCAGCACATATAGATAGTGTGACAGTGGCTCCAAATGCTTCGATTAAGTCTACAAACATTGATATAATTTACAAAGTCAACTGCAGTTGCAAGCGTTACTATTTTGATGAACCCATACTGGTGGCTGTCGATTGATGTTAATAAAAATATTCTTTGCGTGATGATCTTTTCAACAATCTTTGATAAAGCACTAATCACAAATACTGGCTGATAGTAATTCTTTATCTCGATTTGCGTAACGATGTTCTAAAAGTAAAACATAATATATGTATTATGGAATTATAAACAGATCGATCAACTTTCATTGGTCATATGCAGAGCGGTTGAAAAAGCAGTCGCAACATTCCTATGTTGAAAATTGTATGTAATAACAAGAAAGGTTTTCATAAACATGGTCCTTAAATTGCCCGCTTAAGAAATCGGAACAGTACAGAGTGTAAAGTATCTAGCCGAACTTGAAGGGATGCTTCTAGGGTAATTCTAAGAAGAATCGTCCATGTTAACCTAGGTCCGGTGCCTAATGGTTCGTTAGTAGTAGGAAATCCCACTTTTCCCCAAACTCGTTTTCTCGTCTATGAAATCGCAATAATCCGTTTATTTATTAGTTAGAAGTTAATTTAGCAGGCACAGGCATATCGAGGAATGAAAAAGGAAGTCAAGTAAAATGCTTTATTTAAGACTGCAGGTTGCTATGGCCATGTAGATCACTAGATTTAAATCCGTTAAGTTTTTTCCTTAGATGGTCTGTATTTTATCTCACCTTAAGGATTATTTTGCAACTAACCCAAAATCAAGAAAAACGTTTCCAAAGTTTGAACCTGTGGTTTTCGATTGCCGCTTACAACTCATACAACTTAGTATTTGTACAGATAAGTTGAACAAAAACATGAGAAACATTGTATTTTAACACCTTGTGCAAAGTGGTTGACGGGCACTATCAAATCTATAGCAGTGCGCGATGCGGCAGATATGTGAAATAACTTGGGCGGGACATGCCGTTTTTGATGGACTGAAAATTAGTGGAAATATGAAATTTCTGAAACATGTATTTTGCTATATAATAGGTTTTTTTGATTTCTTATTACCTAGTTAGTTATTGTTACAATTTGGGCGGTTTTAATCATTACTTTAATTGTGAGTTATGAAATTTCGAATGGACGGTGCTGTTCGTGACATTTTGGCATGTATTTTTAACTGTGGTTTGAACTTTGAAATGCAACTCTTGACTCTAATGACAGGGCATTCTTCAATGTTGCCAAGTCTTCGAATTTTAGTATCATATAGATTACATTCTGATTTTCTTCAGCTATTTGCTCTGAGCGAAGTTGTTGGTGGGGTCTATCAAATCGACCGCAGCGCACGAAGTGGAAAAAATGTGAAGTGACTCGCAATTAGCATGTGTCAGTTTGCTGAATTTCATACCACTCTACACTAAATTTGGCAAATATTTTCAAGTAAAAACATGCAAACCCTCATAATGGATCACAAGTTACGATACAGCATGTATGGCATAAGGTATCAACTCAAAATCAAATTTTGTCGGTGCAATTTTTCTCAAACACCCTGTATTTTAACCAATGAAATATGATTTACATCACATCACATTCAGCATCGTTTAATCTCTGTAGCGTTCCTTATTGTAGCTCGAATTATGGTGAATGTACCATAAAAATTATAATATAGCTTCGATCCTTATGAATAAATGCAAGCCGAAAATGAAAATTTATCGAGTTGGGTTTGACCTTTCCACAAAAACAATCAATCTCAGTCCTTTCACTAATCATCTCTTTTTTATATCGAGGAAAATTAGAAAGTTTTTTCATGTTTAACCTCGATTATATATCCGTATTTATTACAAAATTATATAAATACTGTCATGCAACCTCATAAGAAGTATAATATACGGAAATATTAAAGTATCTGTTTTAATCCTACATGTTACTACTACTTATGTGTGTATTTTTATTCGTAGGGTGTAATTTAGGTAATTTTCCTAGTTTATTTATATATTAATGACGGTTTTTGGTAGTAGAGCGTGAATAGCGTACTGTATATTTCTGTTTGTACCTAAAATTGATACTGGGTAGTTTCACTATAAAAATGTCAACTAGTATCAGTTATTAACCTGCAATTGCCTTTTCCAAATGACGTGAGAAAAATTCCAGTAATACTTTAAACATCTGTTACATTACATTATTTTGTGTTCTTCATGTTCAAATGCGGGAATTACTTGAGTAATTATGTTTATTTACTGTCGACTTTTGCGCTAAGCTTTACTTCCTTTTATAAGCTCAGAGGTTACAAACCTCACTGTGCGGCTGTTACATATTGAGAAAAAAATTACGTATCAGAATGTGATTTTGAAATCTAAAGTTAATCTGCTCCGGTTTTTTTTAATACCACAATATAATTTTTATAATTCCATAGCAGACACTTCTGACACTAATTTTGATTGTATCAGAAAGATCTCATCAAACTTCAGAACCTATTGCAATAGCTAGTTTCTTATGTTCGTTTTATGTGGTTCTTATTTGCACATTATTAGTTAAGTTACCATTATGTTGCCCTGTCATTGGATGAGTCTGTTAGCAATTATGTATAAATAAATTAGCTACAAAAAATATATGAATGATAAAACAATTTAATCTGTTTGACTGAGCAATGCTTTCGGGATATATCTACCAGTGGCAACACTTTAAATTGCTCATGTGTAATTACGTTTCGTGTCCCTTCTTTTTCAAGGTCCACCTTGTTTTATGCGTCGATTTTTTTTTACACCGAAGCAGCCTAAATGCCAGTGCATCTCGACTGCTATAGAGATCCCAAAGAAAGCTTCTTATCGGATTTTTGATTTGCCTAAGGTTAGTAGAACTGGGAAAAGACTCCTCTTGTAGATTGTCCCACAATCTTGACACCCTAGGGACAACGGAGGGGTCGTATTGGCCACTTCTGGATGTATGTTCGACATGGTTAAAACGAGAGGCGGTTCTGTCTGACAGGCACATCATGCGGTGGCATCATGGACGTATGCTGTGAAGAGCAAAGCCCATTGGTGTAGCGGTAGAAGATAGCTAGGTCGCCGACGGCCCGCCGGTGCGAAGGGGTGCTGAGACTGTCTGTTAGAGAAGAGTGATCGGTCAGTCCGATAGTCCTCCTC